AATCGCGTTATACTAATTTGTGTTATAGGAGGGCTGCCGCGATTCCAGAACACTGCGGTATAGGAGGGCTGACCGGATTAGCATTAGTATTATTCAAGTTACACCAGAAGCGTAGGGCTCAGTATGAAAATTAGTTTGGGGCGCCCCCTTAGGAATCGAAAAGATTTATCACAACTTAGAAAAAAATATTGAATATATTAACCCTTTCCACTCGGATGCCGTCTCTGAATTTGTGAGTGGAAACGGTTAACAAACATTATAATAATCGATTTGTCTGATTTTATAAAAAAATACGAAAAACGTAAATTAAATATACACTATTTGCCTGGATAATTGAACCACAACGCTGATGATAACTAAAGATTTTCTAAAAATTTTAATTTCAAAAAAAATGGAAAATTTTTAATAATTTTTGCTTTGGCATGATGGCGGCTTTTATGGTCTGGGGGAGTCTTGTAAAAAATGGCGCGTAGTAGCCGCAAAATATATCAAAAATACACAAGCTTTTTTTCGTCAAACTGAATAAATAATTTAAAATTGAATCATCACATCTAAAGCTGATAAAAACTAAAAATTTTGTAAAATTTTCGCCTGCAAGGAAAACTTGCAAAATGTTTACTAATTTGTGCTAATGCAAGTTGGGGGGCGTCCATTAATCACGTGAGGTTTTTTATCGAGAGGAGAGTTTGACAAAAAATCATAAAATATCACGTGGGGGGAGGAGGGGTATAGTAAGATATCACGTGTATTTATTTTATACCTGAATTTTTTATTTTTAAAATCCAAACATTTTCTAAAAAAAAAAATTTAAATTTTAAACACAAACAAATTTCTAAAAAAATACGATTTTTTCTCGTAATTAAAAATACGAAAAATGTTTGCTGAGGGATCAGGTAATTTTGAATATTACCATGTATCACCAAGGGGAAGGGGCGTTCAAAAATCCTTGAAAAATCGATCACGTGATTAATGGACGCCGCCCCCTTGAAGGCTCGCATGGTCTGAGGGCCTTGTATAAAAATGGCGCGAAGTAGCCACACTCATGACATAAAAAACACGCTTTTCGCTATAGTTCTAGCCTTCATTCAGTAAAAAAATTACTAAAAATAATTAGGACTAAACATAATATTAGAAATTATGAAATAACCAATAAAAGGTACTTACAATTTGGTGTCTTGATGTTGAACATGAAACTGACACTTCCATGGTACGAAGATGTGCACTAACACTTAATTAAATCACTTACAACTATTTTATTTATACAAACACTGGCTGATAAGTTAAAACTTTGCTAAATTATAAATATTTAACAAGATTAAACAAGATTATAAATATATTACAGATTTATTACCACATATTTCAACACAACACATTTGCACAGAATTAACAAAAGACTGACAGTAATGACGCCATGCATGAAATTGACTGAAGTAGGCTGAATTTGATTGAAGGAGGTGTTCTGACTGAACTTAACACTAAAGGCGCGAAATTTAAAATTTCAAAATGAATTTACAAAAATATTTGAAAATTAAATATGAAAGTTTAAATTAACAGACACTGAAGCATTGCACTTATTAAAAACATATTTGAGAATCAGAACTAAAGTTATTCTGACATCTGTGCCCTTTAGAGGTTGGTTTTGACATTTAACAGTGCCAATGAGACGTGCAGACTGAAGCAGACTTAACACTAAAAGCGCAAAATTCAAAATTTCAAAATTAATTCATAGAAATTTTAATATATCAAAATAGAAGTTCAAATTATTATGTACTGAAGCATATGCGAAAATTAGAACTTATTATTGTCCCGGGTTTTCGAAAAGTATATTTCTAAATTTTTGATATTACTTGAAAATAAAATGACTAATATCCATCAAATATCTGAAAATGTTATTATATGTACAACTAGTATGCTTATATGAAAAAAGGAGGGTTAGAAACCCTCTCACATTCATAATTTTGAACTTTTATTTTCAAATTTACAGAAATTAACAAAAAAAAAATTAAAATGGGCTTCTTGACTGCTTGGAATAAGGGCTATATATTTTTAAATAATTATGAAAAAAATTGAACAAAATTTTATAATAAGTTGGAAAGCTCACAAATATATAATCAAATAATAAAGGTTTTAGTCAGTAATTCAGATTAAAAAAAAATTCATTTAAAAAAGGCGGACTTTAATTGCATTCTTCAATGGTATTTGTTATTTTAAAATCACATTAAATTTTTTACCATTCATCCCCGCGTCACAGATTAGCATAACTGAAAATTACCGTCTCGGTTTTACTTAAAAAAATATGGTCACCTTGATTATTACTGTAATTTAATTACTATCGAAGAAAATTCAAACGGATAATACTTTATCGAATTTTATATCGCGGGCAATTTAAAATAATGTATTACAAAAATCATAAAATTTCATATAAAAATAAGAAAAAGGCCATCATTCTGCTACGATGACGTATTTGGAATTACCGTCTATGTCGTATAGCTGTCCCATACGTTTCTGCCGATATCGTATATCACAATATGAGACCATATAGCGACAGTTATTAAACCTCTTTATTGTTCAATTTTATATATTATCTATAAGGCAACCTTTGAGGGGCATTATCGTTAAAAACGGCCATAAATTTTAAATGTTTGAATATATGATAAAAGTACATAAATAATCATTTCTGTATTCATCCGATGAGTTATTACACGAGTGTTAGGAGAAATTACCGGAGACGAGGCCGGCACTCTTAAGTATCTTCGGTATAAGTTTCCACATGCATCTTCCTCCCGAGATGCGCGCAAACTTTGTTAATGTATTATACAAGTGTACGTGTTTTTATTATTTTTAGATGTGAGCTGAATGAAGGTATGCATGATCGATCGATAGTTACTAAACTTTCGAGCCCTGCTTTTGTAAATACACACATCCACCTACACACACGTGAATAAATAATAAATTGCTTTACACCAGAGTGCTAAATCAGATCCTGATAATAATTGGATTGTCACAAACTAATTCAAAGCGGCTTACGTACTTACAGCCAATAATATGATCGTTTGAATTAATTTTTTTGCTATTATGAACTATTATTTCTGTATTTTGCATCATAATAAATTTGATTAATCAATGGACTGTGGCGCGCTCATTGATCAGTGCGGAATTGTGTCGCCAGAATCAATACTCAATCAGATTGAGTATATTTAAAAAACAATTGTTTTATGTTCAGTAAAATTTCAAATCAACTTATAATTATAAAAATAGGTTTTTTACTATATTTCTAAAATTTGTCATCGGACCCTTTTTACCCCATGGACGGGGTAAGAAAGGACCTCCTGGAGGCAAACAAGTCCAACGTCTTTTTTTTTAAATTTTGAATGGATATCAATACTGAACCCAATCGATGTCACAACCGCCCTTCGCATTTGGACGGTTGTGCCATTGGCCCTTTTATTGTATGATTTGATTTTATGATTTATAGATCGTAGTTAAGGACAGTATTTCAGTATTTCCATGTAGAATTGTAGACAAATGTTCAAATTATCATTTAATTTACTATTCTTCCAGTTAACTGGTAAATTTATAAAATTATGGCTGATCCAAAAAAGTGGCACAACCGTACCCAGTCTCCCCTACTAATTGTAAGACTTCTATAGAACTATATTATTTATGGACGGGGTATGAAAGGATAGCCAGGAGGCAAACAGTCCACCGGTTTCTTTTTTTAGCTACATTATTTAATGTAAGATACAAATTTCATTAATACATTTTGTACAACAATTTCATTGTATATAACCTTGATGGTATTTTGAAATAAATATTCATCAGCAGAGTTCAAATAACTATTAAATAAAAATTTTTAATTTTGTTTTTAACAGTATTTACTTTTTCATTTGTCATTTTTTATTGTTTACACCTTTGCTAATATAGAGGTTAAGTTGGCCCTTTTTACTTCACCCACATGTAAGCTTTATTAAAAAAAAAACTGTTGAGTCTAACTTAAAAGTAACAATACCTTTTACAATACAATTAAATAACGAATATCTAAAAATTATATTCAGGTATCATAAACTAAATAAAAGAGCTCAAACCCAAAAAAACAACCAACAAACATTTTTTTTTTTTTGGCATAAATATTGATACATTGCCAATCATCTCTTGATACTGACATCATTATCGGCAGAATTAAGGTGATGGATGGTTACACATCTTTTGTCTTCTACTTTAAAATAGTATCACTGAAAATTGTATACCTGCTTGCTTGTTTTTGCAATAATGATGGTGGACCATTTTATCCGTGGATCTCAAAAAAATGATAGATACATATTTTCCATGTTGTATAACTGATAACAGATTTAAAAAAATTCTAAAGAAATCTGAGTTTGTTATTAAATATAATATAAAACGATGTATTTATCCAGATAACATAATTCTGTGAGAATATTTTAATATCATTAATGCTCGATTATAATTTAAGAAGTACAAAAAACAAAATGATGAACGCCCCGGGAGACAAATTAAATTGGGCTTATGAAGTTCTTTATCCGACAGGTGTGTTATCAATACATTACGCTCGTACAAAATAACACGCAAAGCGTGTCGTCGTGTGATAAATATTTAAATTGAGCAAAAACACGAACACAGGTACATGTACCTTAAAAGAAAACGAAATTATTTTCACAGATGGTCCCAGGGAAATGGTCGTCGCTTCATTGAAATTTGTCGTATTGATATGGGTTTTGGGTATTGTAATAGCGAAATAGATTCAGGCGATTACATAATCACAACTTGTTGTATTATTTTATGGCAAAAATTAGTATACCATATAAATTATTGCTATTTGAAAAAATTGTGACAACGATATTGAAACATAAATAAAACTAAGCCAAGGTAACCATCAAAAATATTCTAAAGCATAGTAGGCAAGTTAATTGTTTAACAAATTGTTAGTCTTAAATTTTTATAAAGTAAATTTCCTTTTTTATCATATTGTCAATTATCTTTAGGTGCAGCAATGGTTCCCAAGCCTGCCAATTGTATGCCCGAGTTGAAAACAGTACCCTTGGTACCAGAAACGTCTACAACTGCAGGAGTCTTCTACTTTCCTTCTTGCACACGAGTTAAGCGTTGTGGAGGATGTTGCTCACATGCACTACTTTCTTGTCAACCTGTGCAGACAGAACAAATTGCCATGCAGGTAAAATAATATTATCTATATGAACTAATTTTCCTATATTATTTGATTACACGGTGCAGGTTATGGGCCCATGTCTGTATTAGACCGGAGTTGTAAGATTTGTTTTATTGAACAGCGATAAGCACGTAAAGGTTCTATGAAGTGTTGTGACTTACCTAACTACGTTGGATCTATAGATGGCAGTTCAAACAATTGTTCTATCTCTATGGGATGAATTTTAATATTATAACTTCTGTAATAGTGATGAAATTTTAAATGATAGAGCGATGTCAGCCAGGTTTGCATTTGAAAATATCTTTACTCTTGCCGACATTGTTGCACCAAGAAAAAATTCATCAATTACAAAAATTATAATAATAAATTCACCACTTAGAGATAGTATAACCGTTTGCATTGCCATCTATAAAAACTGTTTAAGAAGTCAGCACAACAGTTCATAGAACTAGTTAAGTTCTAATTGCTGTAAAAATATGAAAAATAAATATATTAATTTTAAACCGTTTTGTTTGTATTATTTTCAAAGAATTTCTCAGCGTCATGTAAATATATTCCAATTCTATTTTATTTTCCTTTTATGTGCCCGGCACGATGAGTCATTAAACGGATTTTGTATATTCAAATTATTGCGACATTTTATTTGTATACAGCGTTAGCGGAAACATTTTCAGCTATTTTAAGTCCCGATAGCATTAATGAATGTAAATATATTCGTCACAATTAATAATACAACTCGAAGGTGAAGCGAGCACGCGCCACGAGCAGCAAGCAGCAAGCAGCTGCGGCCGCTTCTCCGCTCCGGGACAAAGGGTGCGCCCGGAACAATGGTCACACGGAATCTTTACAAATACTTTTTCGTACTTCCATTGTTTTTCTCCTGATCGGCCCTTATCGAGGCATATTTTAATTATGTCCTACAGTAATTTTAAATAATTACAATGCTGTCATTGTTAATTAAGATATGCCTCATCGCAACAGCATTATATTCAATGACTGAACGCTTAAAAGATTTTCGACATCATGTTTTTTGTATATATTTTTAACTTCCTAAAGGAGAAATTTATGTTTTCGGCAGAAAATCTGATTTGCTTATTTCATATTTTCTTGAAACTTCAAGTCATTCTAAATACTTTGATACCAAATTTGGAAAAAGTATGTGTATGTGAACCAAATTTGGACCTTTCGTCGACGTTTTCTCAAAATCAATTTCAAATTTCGGCTACATCAATTTCAACAGCCATTGGAATTGGAAGTTCGTTTAGTTCTGTGGGATGATCGATCGAAACTTTCCTTTAGAATTTGGAGAAAAATGTAAAAATTAACATAACGATAAATTAAAAAAAAAAAAATCATCAGCAGTGATGCTTATGATTATTTCGATTTTATAAAACATTTTACAACTTTGATTTTACTAAATTTATGGTTGTAAAAGAATTCAAAAAAAAAATCTTACCATACGTTAAACAATGGTTGGCTCATATTTACAATTTTGAAACAGCTTTGATATTAGTTCAGTACTGGTATGCAAAAAATTCCATAGCCTGCGTTATAAATTACCAGCGAATATAATTGCACTTCTAATAATAAGATTTTATTTTTGGCGCGGGTTAGACCTCGCTTCAAAAAGCTTGATGTCAAACAGTAGTGGCATCAGTTTTTACTTGGAAATATAGTTAAAAATATTATCTTATATATAAAAATGGATCGCAAAATGTGTTGGTAAGCGCATAGCTCAACAACGCCTGGACCAATTTGACCAATTCTTCTTTTAAAATGTTCGTTCATGTCCAAGGATGGTTCTTACGGCGAGAAAAAATCGAATAATTGCCGGGAAAACCCTAAAAACAGCCCTTTTCTTTTTTAATCGAGTAGGCAACGAAATTTGTAGAAAAAACAATGATCTATGTCATGACATTTTGTGTAGTTTTTGATAATCTAATCTTTAATATATTTATATAAACATGTAAATATCTTTCTATTAATTAACGAGCTATATTGGCAGCCAAAAACATTGATGTAAATGAATTAAATTTCAAAATTCAAGAACAAATTAGAGGCGAATCAGTTGATTCGGCAAATAACCAAGACGATCCACCGGAGTTTTTAAACTCGCTGGATTTGCTAGGATTGTCACCTCACAATCTTCAATTAGGTAGGATCGGCAATTATAATGTTGCAAAATATCGACCAACCGCGCCTTTGCAACGGTTGCAAATTCGAAGGTTAGCGATAAAAAAAACTACCAAATAACGTGATGGAAGCTACTATATTGAAAGGATAGTATAAAGCAGAAGATGTTCTCGCACCGTGCATCCCAATGTTTCCGACTGATGTGCCATTTGAGATTAAACGAATACAGTTTCCAGTGCGTTTATGGTATCATTAAGTGTTTGTGGTATTAATTTGGAAAATCCATGTTTCTCACATGGAAAAATGTATGTTGTCTGTTCCCGTATTGGAAAACCATCAGATTTGTTTGTCTATGCGCCAGGTAATCAAACAAAAAACATCGTTTATCACAAAGCACTACAATGAAAATTGAACTGAATTTTGAATTATGATTTGCATGATTAAAATTACTTACTTTTAAATGCTTATAGTGTTTTATTTAATTATTCTTAATTCACACCGAATTATTACCAGGGTGATGGTTCTGTTCGGGATAATTTTTTGCAAAGAATAGAAAAAAGGTAGGAACAAAACACCGCCACATTACAAATTTTTTTGACAGGACAAAGTCTGTCGGGTCGGCTAGTATATAATATTTTTCCAAGTAAAATTAGCCTTCTAGTATAGAAACTGAAATAATTGTTTTTCTATTGTTTCATATTTTCAAAGTTTAAATATTTAAGAATATGTGTACAAGAAGATTATCTAAAATTCGAAGTATTCTCGGAGATACAGCTGTTTGATCAAGAATATGTTCTTCTGTTTTCTTCCTTTTGCGAAACCTAAAACGCAATTTTCTCAAAACCGTCTTTTTCAATACAATGCTCACGATTTCTCTAGTTTTACTAAACTGATTTACTTGAAGTTATCAGAGAATCTTCTTTATAGACTCCTCTCTGATATGTACTAGACTCACCCTCAAATTTCAGTGATTACTATATTTAAAAATGCGAGAGGCTCAAAAAAGTGGTTTAAAAACGGTCTATTTTTCAAACATTTTGTCAAAAACTTTTTTTTTTATTTTTCCGTGGTATATCCATAGCGACAACATTCTAGATTAGTAATCTTTCTGTTTCATTTTGGATTACTAATAGGGCTGTAATCGTGAGCATGATCAAGTGACAATTTTTTGCGCCCCACATTTCAGCAACTGCTTATTTTTTAAATAATATTTTTTTTGTTTTTCTTCTTGTAACATTGATAAATATATTATAGACACAATTATAGTAAAAAAACTTTTGTCTCTTTTTACAAAGATAAGAAAATTACCAAATATTATGAAAACAAACGAACAAGAGCTATTTTTTTCAATTAATTATGAAGTGAAATAGAATGTTATATAAGGCTCAAAAGCGGAAAGTATGAGATCGAGAAATATAAGATATGATATAATATACTAAATAAAAAAGTATTACATATAATCCAAATATAAAGTTCTCATTGAAAGTCCGCAATAATGACTTAAAAAAAAAATGATTGATATATTTTTTATATTGTATCTTTAAATAACATTTGTTATTTTGAAGACTTGCCTCCCCCCCGTTCCGGATTTTCATAACTAAACATTGCCATCGCGGTTTTGATTTAAAAAAATATGGTCACCTTACCTTAAGTCAAATTAGCCCACTCCCATATAGGATTCTTAAGTTTTGATGGTTGTTAAAAAATAATAAGAAATTTTTTTCAATTACTTCGATCTATAAAACAATTTATTAAATAAATATTATATGTGTGTCATTGGAATCTGTCCCGGCGAACGTGAAACGATAACGCACGATACCTATATATCGTATCGCATGTTTTGCTTAGCATTCAAAATATTAAGCGGCGTAATCTGAAAAGTCAGGAACGGTTATATTATATGTATCACATGTTAGTACTAAGAAAATAGTAACGTCATCAGTATAAGAGCACAAATAGCCCCATGGCTACGGGGTTTAAATTAATTACACATTAATTAGATGCTTTGGTGCGAGATAAGCGTTATGTCCGTATTCTAAAGCACCATACGTGTAGATATAATGGCCTTTGGATGCTCACACATGCACGAGGCCGAGAACAAAACATGGATAACGAAGGTGCCTCGATAAATCTTTATGTAGGAATTGTGTTTACAGATATCTGATAGCTTGCGACCGTTTTCTCCAATTACATTCTATTTATTAGTCGCTGTCCAATATATTTTCGATCTTAAAATTTGATACCTCTTAATGTTGAAACTAGTGGTGTATGATGGTATCGCGAGTTAGGCTTGTTGAAAGTCCGGTTCAAGTCAGTTCAAAAAAAAAAATTAATATATAAAATCATTCTACATAATCATCAACCACAAAAACCCCACATTAATTCCCGTATAAGAAGCATCAAATATAAAAAGATTGAAGAAGAAGCACCCCTTCGATCTAATGCATTAAAATGGAGTAGCCCACTAAGGTGACCTACACTATCATGGGGTAAAATTGCCCCATTAATCTATATAATTATTTTAAAAAAAATCATCTAAAATTCTTCACACATTGTACCATGATATAATAAATTGTTAGATATTTTAAGATTATTCTTATAACTACATAAAATATATTGATCGTTGAACAAACTGGATGGATCATAAGGTAAAGGGATGTCCACGCGCCTGCTCTAGGTAAATCTGTTTGAATTGGCAAACACCTTTGCATAAATCATTTAAAGTACAATTTATGATATCTAGACTAGCGGTCATTTCGCATCTCTGCCCGTACCTATGTATAATCAATCCGTATATAATTTTATTTATTTGGTGAATTATCATTATACAAAATATATATAAATGTACATAGTAACTTTTAATGACTATTATT